TGACTTCTTTCTGTGGAATATTTTTACATGTCTGAGTGATTCTGCCTAAAATAACCACCCAAGGGTTCTAAAAGTCTTTGTACCAGTGGTTGTCTCAGAACTTGTCTAATTATCATTCTAATTTCCAGCAGGTAGTGGTGGAAACACAGACACTCACATGTATATATGGAAAGTATAAATATTGGTTTGTAATAAAACAGCTTAATTTCAACTCATAAGAGAAGAAATATTCTTACCAGCCACAGGCTTTGCAAGGCTAGCAATCTCACAATGACATACTTAATATTGTCATTATGTAGATCAGTGTTAATTCCTTTCCTTTATCCCCAAATTATACTTTCAATTTTATCCTATTGTATCTCCTGGGAATGGAAAACAAACTCATTGTCAAACACATGTCTCTTAAGGGCTGTTCATTTCACTATACAAAGTTCCAGTAGAAGCTCTGAAATTTATTATTTTAAGGTCTAAAATAAATTTTTGGCTAGGAGATATCCTGCTCAGATTGTTTCTTCCCTCTTATTTTTCTATGAGGGAAGGGGAACATAATATCTTTCTTTCAATTACAAAATTACATTTAGGAATTAGTGAGTGGTCATGTTTTCTGTCATGCAGAGCAAGCCAATCTATAGAAGTAAGGAAAAAAGTGAATGGACAGAGGAAAAGAGCCATGAGGGCATTGTAGAGCCTGGGACTAGCAGTTCTCAAGACTCATTTGTACTTCTGCCCTTTTTAGGACTGTATTGTTCTCTTCCTTTTATCTCACCAAGATATCATAGTATCTCTCCAATCAAGTTCCTTACTAATTAAGGTTAATTCAAATTTGCTATATGTCACTTGCAAGCAAAGGAAACCTCAGTAGAAGACAAACCAATCAAACACATGCATTCTGGTCTCATCCACTTGGTCCTATTTAAGAAAAGGTAAACATAATGATTAGATAGGTGTTGTAGCATGCTAGCTCAGATAGCATGGTTGCTTCCTGTGCATTTTGCTCCCTCTTAACATTCGGTGCTATCCAAGAGCTGGTTTTCCTCCTCTTGACTATAACAAAGCAGATGGAAAGCCAAATCCAAAAGGAAGATTCTGATTTCTAGGCTTGCAGGGCCAACTTTCCCATCTCGTAGACTAGAGGAGGTGGGGGAGGGTAGCACAAAAGTAGAGTATCTCCTAGAGCAAAGAGATATGGAAGAATAAAACAAGTGGTCTTTGAGGAGGGAAGGAGAAGGAATACCAATATACAACCACAAATACCAATAAGCAGAGTGGAAGGAAAAGCAATTACCAAATGGATTGAAGAACTGGCATAACCTATGTCATCAACCTAAAGAAAACCTAGGGTTCAATAGTCTTGGGAACTTCCTAGCCCCTAAACAGGAGGAGGGGCATTTGGACACCTTGTATGAGGATGGAGGCATGCAGGAGAGCATCTTGCCCCTGACCAATGGGGAAGAGAACAGAACAAATTGGATATATCTCTATATTGGGACATCAACCGGCACACAGCTCCTGTTACAGAGGATAGTCAGTGCCCAATGCAAAAAGAACCCAAGATTTCAACTACTTATTTGTGAAACTAAAATCTTGCACAAGAGAGAACTTAGAGTTTACCCTTGAAAAACTACAACTCCCAGAAAGAGATAGAAACAAATAAGAGCTGTTTTCAAAACAGAAACCTATCAATTAATAGTTGGTTTCTGCTTTTTACATTTCTGTTTTCCTGATTATCTTCACTACCCACTGCCTTGGAAGAGTTAACTATAATATCAATTATTCAGACATTGACAGTCTAATTTCCTTCCTTCATCCTACGTTTCTTGGGATTTCCCAAGGCCTCTTACCTACTTGTCATGTTAAAATAACACAAACAGAGTTTTGTGAGATCATTCAAAGCATGGCTTCCTCTTCACACCACCAAGGGCAATGAAACCACATGGGATGTCCCCATGTGACAAATTTGTACTTTGCTGTGACTTATATAATTTGTATACACAGTAAACAGGAGATATCACAGCAAAGGTCAACCTTGCTGATACTACTGAAAGGTCTGTGTCTCAGCATCTTAATTTATTAGTGGTAAGTTCCTTGGAGCTGTGGATTTTATGCTGGACAACTCCTCTTCCTTTTCCAAAAAAAGACATCTGAACTCTTTTGTTTACCTCTCTTTTCTTGCGAAATATTTTTCTCTACCACCTTTCTTTTTAACTTAGATCCCTGGAGCCTATCACCCAAGATCAGCAGCCTAAAGACCATGTTTAGTCTCTGTCCTGAGGTATTTGAGGTGGTGGCCAGAAGAGTGTCAAGAATGGTTTAGTTGAGCTGATGCTATGTATGGGAAAGTAATAGGAAAGACGGTAGCATGTTGTTAGAGCAGGTAGTCAGACAGACATGAACAGGGCAGGAGAGGGACCCCCACAACCAGGAATGTCAGGCAACCATCAGAGGATGGTCAAGAGGTTGTTAAACTGTCTCTCTAAAATAATAATTGGTTGCAGCCAGTGTCAGGGAAAGGCAGTCTTCCAAAAAAATAAAATAGAAAACTGAAGCTTGTGATCAGCAGCTTCCAGTTAAGATCTCAGGAGTTTGGTGAGCAGGCTCAAGAATGAGCACTAAGAGGCAAAATTGCAGAATTTAACTGGTCTATAACCTTCTAGGAACACATGACCGGTAAGGGAAAAACACCTCAAATGAGCAAAAGCACAACTTCAGTAAACACGCTCTGCATGTGGCCCCACCCCAGTGCTGCCAGGCCACTGTGCATATGGACAGCCTGCACAAAGAAAAAGTCAAGGGAGGAGAGACACAAATCCAAGAACCATGCCACTGTATAAAATCCCAAGTCAAGTGTCAAACAGGGAACTTGGATCTCTTTACTTTTTTTTTTTATTATTATACTTTAAGTTCTAGGGTACATGTGCACAGCATGCAGGTTTGTTACATATGTATACATGTGCCATGTTGGTGTGGTGCCCCCATTAACTCGTCATTTACATTAGGTATATCTCCTAATGCTATTCCTCCCTCCTCCCCCATCCCCACAATAGGCCCTGGTGTGTGATGTTCCCCTTCTTGTGTCGAAGTGATCTCACTGTTCAATTCCCACCTATGAGTGAGAATATGTGGTGTCTGGTTTTCTGTTCTTGCGATAGTTTGCTGAGAATGATGGTTTCCAGATGTATACATGTCCCTACAAAGGACATGAACTCATCCTTTTTTATGGCTGCATAGTATTCCATGGTATATATGTGCCACATTTTCTTAATCCAGTCTGTCACTGATGGACATTTGGGTTGATTCCAAGTCTTCGCTATTGTGAATAGTGCTGCAATAAACATACGTGTGCATGTGCCTTTATAGCAGCATGATTTATAATCCTTTGGGTATATACCCAGTAATGGGATGGCTGGGTCAAATGGTATTTCTAGTTCTTTATCCTTGAGGAATCACCACACTGTCTTCCACAATGGTTGAACTAGGAACTTGGATTTCTAAAGTTGCCTGCTTGGCCCTTTTCCAAGTGTACTTTACTTCCTTTCATTCCTGCTCTAAAAAATTTTTTTTGATGTCTAACCAAGTAACTGTTATGTATTTATTTGTATACAATAAAAGGGTCATGAAAATTCTGTGTTGGGGATCACATCCATGTTGCTTTCACACGTAAATAAGTATTATTTTGAACAGGAGAACATTAGTTATGTCCTGATTAATGCAGTACATACTTTCTTTGGCAGGTATTTCCTCTGCTTTAATAGACAATTTCAGAAAGACATGTTAAGGGAGAAAAAATCACATCATACTAAGGATCTGAGGGCCATAAACATCACATATGTTGAGTTTGCTTTTATTTTGTTTCCAACAGCTCTTAACCAATGTCCCTGGCTATAATCTAGGTGCTAGATGTGTTGCAAATCCTCAAAAGTGTTTAAGATGAAAGAGCAATACGCTTAAGATCTTCAAAAGTTTACATTAACAGAATAAGCATTAGCTCCTTTTAACACACACAACTAACAAATAAATATGTCTACTTTTATATATGCCCATAAAGCAGACAGACTTAACATTGAAATTTACTATTTTAGATTTTCACTCCTTTAAGAGCTATCAATATAGACACAAAAGATAGTTCCCATTTGAAAAATTATCTATCTGAAGAATAGAACCCTTAAGAGGAAAAAGAACAAGTCATTTTACAAACTGCAACTGAAATAGGGGAGAGAGAAAAAAAAAAAAAAAAAAAAAAAAAACAAGTTAGATCTTGCGGCAACAAGCTTCCTGCCAAAACTTTTATTGGTGACATTTGAAAAACAGTTTTCTTAAAATACTATTAATGAACAGTATGTTGTGTTTCTCTATTTTTACTAATAGTTACACTACAAACTAATGTTCAGCTCAAATAAATATGTAAGATATGAAATCAGATACTAATGTATCAACTTATTCTGCAGGATAAACCTCCCCTATACCAACCACAGGATTACAGTTTTTCTTCTGTTTAAAACTAGGATGTTTAGTAGAAATGGGGTTTCTATTTGCGGTATTATTACAAACCAGTTTCCTCTCACAAATAGCTAATATCTAAGACCATGACTCAAACTATCAAATAGGAATAGAAAGAGAACACTCAGTTTTGAACGCAAATAGAAAAAGCTCCTAAGAATCTTCTTTATAGGCCACTGCTTGCTTTCAGTAAAAATAACATTTTCTTAAAACTTTTCAATCTAATTTTTAATAGCTTGTACTTTTTAGCTACTGACAAAGCTTTTTTATTCCTCCTTAATCATTTGCTCAAGTGTTAAATGAGCTTAGTTTACCAAAGTAACAACTTTTTGTCTGTGGTATACTTCAAAAATTAGTCACCCTACAATGTAGTGTCTTCAAATTAAACAGATGTATACAGTTAAAATAATTAGTATAGTCTCTATAAACAATTTCTGTTCTGGGATTTATATGTAGAGCTAATGTTTACTTCAGAATAAAACATTGACAAACAGGGAAGGCAGAGAATCAGAACTTTCACAGAGCTGTGCTTGACCATATCTTATAGACAAAGCAGAATTACAATGCATGTAACAAAAATGTTAAAAGTTTTTTTTTTAAGTTGATAGTTACAAATATGGTACGTAACAATTTTCTACTTTATTTCAGTACAATTTTCAACATACAGTCTACTATTTCTCAAGATATTTGAAGACTTAAAACAAAATTTCTATAGACTACTTGCAAACAGTAAAATTTAAGTAAAATGCTTACATTCTTATTCGAAAACAAAAATCAAGTAAAAAAAAAATGGTGGGTGCAAGTTCTGCTCTGTTGTAATCTTACTTCATATCTGTTATTCCTTTTCTTCCTTGCACCTGTCCTTCTTTTCTTCATTATTTTCCATGGTCTCTTCTTTATCTCCAACAATCCCATCCCTTTGGTATCTGTCATGATTCCATTTAGGACTGCTACCTGATTTTTTGAAGTTAAAGCACCCTTTGCCACATTGAAAAGTACCACGACCTTTTCTTCTTTTGGCCCAATAATCCACACCATCATCTCTGTCATCATGCAAGAAGTACTTTTTGCTCTTTGGGGTATATTCTGGATCCCATTCCTCTTCCTTCAGTCTCTTTTGAATGGTAGTATTTGAGTTGTTTGGACCAGTATTTGTGCCAGCAAAAACTCCTCTGGCTCTTCCTCTGCCTCTAATTCGAAAAAAGGTTCTTCATGGTCAGCTAATTCCTGCAAAACCTGAGTATTCTTCCATTTCATGGTGAGTTTTAAATTTTTCTTCTCTTTCCTTCTTACTCTCCTTTTCTTCTCTAGAACTGGGAGAAGAAGGTGATGCTGAAGAGGATGAAGATCGAGAATGATCTTGCTCTCTACTTTTATGTTTACTCTCATCTTGTAAGATTTGTATTCCTTGTAATCTTTTGGAGTTTTTTTCCTGCTTTCTTGATCCACTGGATTCCCTGGAGCCCTTGGAATCTCCCTGTTCTTCTTTCTTTTCTACAGCGATCAATGTCATGCCAAAAGTCAGCAGAGTCACACCTTAATTTTTTATCTCCCTTTTGATTTTCTTCTTTAAAAACTCTCTCTTCCCCTGCTAAACGGGTATGCTTCCTCAGGGTACTTGGTGAGATGTCAATTCTTCTGTGTATTTCAGGGCTCTTTTGTCGAGTACTATGTTCTTCAGTGGCTTTCTGATGCGAAGTGAACTGCTCGTTTAGAGTCATTGCAGCTAACTTGAAGTATTGCTCTTCAACATGATGAACTAAGGACACAATGTGTTGAATAAATGACTCTGAAGTGCTGTTGCTGGCCTGTGGCAACTTAATGGGGTCAAAGATGGATCAGAATTCTTGCTCCTTCTTGACAGAATGGACAAGTGTACTAGCAAGCAGCCTGTCTTTAGTCAAGGAAGCAGGTCTGTTAGAATCATCAAGAGGAACGCGTGCCATTTTGAGTCTGAATTCAGGATGATGAGAATCACTCGCTATCATTTTGATCCTAAGTGGGTTTTCCTCTCTGAAAGTAGACTTTTCTCATGCATCCAGATTCTTGTGTAGAGGGGGACTGTAATCAAAGCGGTCTTTGAGCTTTTCAGACTTTACCTGCTCAGGTGACTGAGTTTCATTCTTTACTGTTGTTATTCTTTCAGAATTTTTGTCTTCTTCTTTGTGCTTATCTTTTGTAGTGCTAGGCCTTTCCACTACATATCCAGTCTGTTTAAGTTTACAATTTTTTTTTTCTCTAAATCCATCACTGTCTCTATTGCCTTTCACTGAAACTTTGGACTTGTACTTGAGTCCTTCCTCCTCAGTATTCCAGTGAGATGCAGTAGCAAAACTTTTACCCTGATCTGCGAGGACTGACTTCCTGAACTGTCTGTAATCCTCTGTCTCCTCTATATCATCCCCTTCTGAATCATTAAACTTTTGTTTTCCAGACTCTTTATCAGTGAAGTAATCTAGAGCTTCCTGATCTTCCCATTCTCCCTCTGCCCTCCGTTTCTCTGATCCTGTCTCTTTTGAAGCCTCTTTATCGCTGTTATTACCCCTATCAAGCAGGAATACTCTAGACTCTTCATCTGTGAACCTTTTTCAGAACTTCCCAGTCTTTGAGTTTCCTGATCTCCACCATCAGGATAAAATGAGGAATGGCCCCTAGACTCATCTTTTGGAACATTCTGTGGTGCAATTGTCTTTACAGGACTTCTTCGTGAAGGGATGTGATTAATTGGACTATTCTGAGAAGAACGATATTGACTATATCCATTTCCAACAGAACCAGAACCAGACCTTTCAGGACTATGCTGAATGGAATGTGAATGCTGAGAAGGAGTATTTTTTGCAGAGTGAACTGTACTGAGCATGGGAGGATCAGAGCAAGATGAACTCTGACTAGGTGGTGTAGCAATAGATGAAGGACTATGGGGTGATCTGGGACTATTATCATAAGCTGAAAGGCCAGGCCAAATATCATCAGATGTGGCTGATGGCTTATTAAATTCATTGATAGACTCAGATGGGTCATGTTCAAATGTATCTTTCGGTTCCTCCTGTGATTTACTTTTCAACAGATTCTCTTCTTGGGGTTCCCCTTCAGCTTTTTTGGTTTGTTTTTCCTGAGACCCTCATCTTGTCTTTTAGAAACAGGAGATTTGCTATATGGAGATGAAGAAGGAAAAGAGGATGATCTTGGAGACCTAGAAGATCTATATGACCAGTAAGATCTGCTTCTGGATCTTTGAGAAGAAACAGATCTTCTTTCTGGACTCCTGGAACGTGAATGACCTCATCTAGGACTCCTAGAGTGCCTTCTATTCCAGACAGGTCTATAACCACCTCAATGATATCTACCTCCTCCTCTGTACCCATAAGATTGTCTCATTCCTCTATTATTTCTGTAATCACGATGATAATCTCTGGCATACATACGATCTCTACTACGAGACCTTGAATATGTTCTGGAACGAGACCTAGAACTGTATTGCTTCCTTCTAGAATGAGATCTTGATCTTGATCAAGAACTAGATTGTGATCCAGACTTTGACCTTGAAGAATGTGATCTAGAATTGGAGCAAACCATTTCTTTTTTCCTTGGGTTTATGCAGGATCAAGAAGTCAAGTGAAGTCTTTGAGATACTGTAAAAATACTTCCTGGAGAGAATGCTCTGAGAATTTAAACTCTGAATTCAAAATCCTGACACGCCAAATCATGGTTCCTGGGATTTATCTCCATTGCAACTTAACAGTGGCCATTTCCCAATTCAAGAACGTGAGGAAAACCATAGAGGTACCTTTGACACACTAGCTCAGCTCCATCACTTCCTCCTGCTATAAAACTTTTTAATAAACTTTCACTCCTGCTCTAAAACTTGCCTCAATCTCTTCCTCTGCCTATGCCCTTCAGTCAAATTATTTCCTCCTAGGAGGCAAGAACCAAATTGCTGCAGACCTGTACGTATTTACCACTGGTAAGAGTGTGACATTATTTTCCCGTGGTTAACAGGAGCATATGGCAAAATACAATGCTCTCTGAGCTAGAAGATATGGGTTCTCTTCCTCAATCTACTACAAACCAGCTGTGGCCTCTAGAAAAGTGTGAAATTTCCCTAGGCGTCACGGAATCATATATATATTGAGCTAGAATAACCATCACATTTTGTAATTGAGACCCAGAGGCCTAAAGTGATTTGCTTGAACTCTTACCACTAGACAAAGGGAGAATACATTCATTCCAAAGCACTTTAAGACTTAGAGGTGAGACAGAGTATGATTCATTTAAAAAACAAATCTCTTGTTATTCTGCCAACAGCCCACTGCCTGAAGTCAGATTGGGTATGAAGGCCAATTCCCTTAGTTATGAAACTTGGATAAATGTTTTGCTGCATGTGGTAACAAATAAGTAACTTAATTCTCTAAAATACGTTTAAATTTACCTAGGTTAACATTCAAGTAAAATATCCTGAAGACTGTGAGGTTTCAAGTGCCCATAAAAATACTGAACCACCAATGCACACATCACAGATTTCAAAATGAGAAAATGAATCATCAAAGGGAAGGAGTTCAAGAACAAAGTCTAAGATGATACTGAATTTTGATAGGCAGAAGCAGAAACTCTCAAGAAAACTAGAAATCATTATCAGAAAAGTAATAAAAAGAAAGTAACCAAAAAAAAAAAAAAGCAATCAAAAAGAAAGACAGAATCTACATTTGCTGGGCATTTACCATGTGTCAAGTATCATGTTTTGTACTTCCTCATGTTTTCTCATACAATATTCAAAGCAACTTAAGAGGTTCAGATGGTCAACCTCAGTTTGTAAATGAAAAAAATATACCTAAGAGAGGTGAAGTGACTTGTCTAAGGTCACGGCTAGTATATGGTAGAGCCATTATTCAAATTCAGATTTGTCTGTTTGACACAAAATACTATGGTTTTGTACTATAACTCTCTTGCATTTAGAGCCAGAAGGGGTAGAACTGGTAGAAACAAAGAAAACACTGGTTTGACTTTTTTTTATTTCTTGTTGATATTTCTATTAATAGCATACAGCTCCTTTCTTCTTCAAAATATGTTTACATATCTATTCAATCTTTCTTCTTTTTCCCTCTGTCCATCTTCCTAAACATACCTGCATTTCTATATTACTCCTTTATATTTATCCAAAAACTACTCTTTCTTCTTCCTCCTTCTTTACTCATTCAAGATTTAGTGGCTTGAACTTCTTTTTAAGAAAAGAAGATACTATAATCATATTGACAGTTTAGTAACATTATTCTGAATACAATAATCTCAACAGTGACTACAAGTATAATATTAGATACAGGGATATTTCTTTTGAGGCTCTTCCTGAATGCTATTAAACTCTAAATGTTTGAGTTTCATGCTCACCAAGATAACATCAGTTCTTTTCTTGGCTACCTGAGAGTCAGATATGTCCACAGATCCTTAGCCTATTTTCCTTGGTGTCTGCCAAGTAAGCTCTTAGACTGCTGTATTCTCCCTACTTCCCTCTTTATGCAATTTCTCTTTCTTAATCCAAATTCCCACTATTGCTCTCACTACTCAATCTTTTAGGAATTCCCATTCCAAGATTAATAAACTCATATCTTCATAATCTTTACTTTGTAATTTCCTCAGTGCTTATAATTTACTACAGTTTAGTTTTTCCCAGGGAAGATGGCTTCCATGAATTGAATCATTTTCCAATATTCCAAGCACATGAAGACCCTAAGATGGCATCAGGATCCTCGTTTTTCTCCACCGCCACTTCTAGATTACTCTTCTCTTCTCTTGTTAAACCTCACCTCCAATCCTTTCTCAGTCATTCTCACTTATTATTTATTAAAGCCTTTGGCCTTTCCTTCATCTTCAAATCCTGTCATCACCCTGAGGAAACACATAACTGATTTATCTTAAATCTTTTCTCTTTAGATTTTATCACCTCCTTATACCTAGGGATCTCTTCTTAGCTCAATTTTGGGCACTCACTTCCATGAACACATTCTGGACCTGGTTGTCAAATGCAGCTACTTTACTACCGAAATAATAAAGGTAGTACCTTTAGGCCAGGTGTGGTGGCTCACGCCTGTAATCCCAGCACTTTGGGAGGTGGAGGTAGGTGGATCATGAGGTCAGATGATCGAGACCATCTTGGCTAACACGGTGAAACCCCGTCTCTACTAAAAATACAAAAAGTTAGCTGGGTGAGGTGGCGGGCACCTGTAGTCCCAGCTACTCAGGAGGCTGAGGCAGGAGAATGGCGTGAACCCAGGAGGCAGAGCTTGCAGTGAGCCAAGATTGCATCACTGTACTCCAGCCTGGGAGACAGAGCAAAACTCTGTCTCAAAAAAAAAAAAAAAAAAAAAAAAAAAAATTTAAATAAATAAACGTAGTACCTTTAAAACAACACTTTCCTATCCTTCCAACTTGCTTTGTCTTTTACACCCAACACATAATCAAGATCTTTGTTCAAGTCTATCAATTCCTCTCATTTTGCCTATCAATAATTCTTCTCTTCTCTCACTACTGTCCTTAAATTAGGAAAATTATGTTGACCAGACCTAAGGAAAAAATAAAAATATGTAAATCTGAAATGGAATTTTCTTCCCTGAGAGATAACAAACAAGTTAACGGAAACTCCTTTGATTTCTCTGGCACCAAAGCCACGGGTCCTGAACTCTATTTCCTGCCTTGCCTCCTGCACAATATGAGAATTGTGCGATAAATTCTACGCTTTCTCGTTTTTCCAAGGAACCACCACCTATAATTACCAATTTTTACTTTTGTATCATCAATGTCTAGATTAAGCTCTTCACTGGATTAATCTCAACTGCAAGCACATGTGACCTTCCACCTTTCACCTTTAAACATCTTGGGTGGGGCACGGTGGCTCACTCCTGTAATCCCAGCACTTTGGCAGGCCAAGGTGGGCAGATCATGAGGTCAGAAGATTGAGACCATCGTGGCTAACACGGTGAAACCCCGTTTTTACTAAAAATACAAAAAATCATCTGGGCATGGTGGTGGGCACCTGTAGTCCCAGCTACTCGGGAGGCTGAGGCAGGAGAATGGTGTGAATCCAGGAGGCAGAGCTTGCAGTGAGCCGAGATCATGCCACTGCACTCCAGCTTGGGTGACAGAGTGAGACTCTGTCTTGAAAAAAAAAAAAAAAAACTCATTAACATTCAATACAGTTGACTTCGCCCATCTTAAAACACTTTTTTGTCTTAGCTCTGTGACTATGTAATCTCATAGTTTTCCTTCTTTCTTCTTTGCTCTCATATTCTCCTCCTCTAGGTTCCAAATACTGGAAAGCCTTGTATCTTCGTCCTGGGCCCTTTTCTCTTTTTAACCTAGATACTCTCCTGGGGTAATCTCACCTACTCTCATGATTTTAAATACCTTTTATAAACTAAAAACTTTATTACTAACCCCTGACAATTCCTTTTGGATTTCAAAGAAGCATCTCAAACTTAAAATTGCCAAACCACAACTCTTGATTTTGCCCTTGTGTATTAAAGGGTTAACTCAGCTGACCTGGACTGCTTAAACCCTGCACATTTCAAAGATCTTCAGGTCTGGTTCCTGGGAGGTACCTCGGAGTCCTTGGAATATTCTGCCTAATAAGAGTGTCTCTGTATACCTGGAGCCCTGGGACATGCTATATCAGCCTAAACTTGGTGGGGCAAGGGTGGAGGCTGGACACTGAATAACCAAGGTCAGCCATGTGGGTGCCCCATGACTATGTGAATGAACTTGTCCAACCCTGGACACAAGGCTTAGATAAGCCTCCCTGGTTGCCCATACTTTATATGTATTGTCACACATCATTTATGGGAGAACTAAATACTGTTCATGTAATTCCACTGGGAGAGGAAAAGTAGAAGCCTATGCCTGGTTTCTCCTAGGCCATACCCTATGCTCCTTTTTTGTTTGCTGATTTTAATCTGTATCCTTTCACTGTAATAGATCACCACCATGAGTGATGATAATAACTCATCTGATTTTGGGAAGTCCTTATGGCAAATCATGGAACATAAGAGTGGTCTTAGGAACCCCCAACACATCTCTGAAACTTACTTCTCCTCCATTTTTCTCATACTAGTAATTACCATCACATTCATCCACTTGCTCAAGCCAAGAATCCTCTGATATCATCTTTGAATCCTCCTTTTTTCTTATCCTACATGTCTAATCCATCACCAAGTCCTTATGGCTCCAGATTCAAAATACATCCTGAATCTATGTGCTCCTTTCCATCTCAGTTACTACCATTCCAGCCCAAGCCACAAGCCATATTTTGCCTAAACTATTGCAGTGGTCTCCTAGATGATCTCTTTAGTTCCACACTTGGAACCCTACAATTCATTCCCCAAAGAGCACAAAGAGTGACTATCCATTTACATTCCCCAATTGTTTCTCCTTGAACTTAGAGTAAAATCCAAACAGCTTTACTTGACATACAAATCTACATGATTTATCTTATCTATATCATCTTCTACCACTCTTCTCATTCACACTGCTCAAGTCTTTGGCCTTCTTTCTATTTATCCAACATTCTAAACTCATTCCTGCCTCAGGTTAGTTATACT